TATATAATATTTGTGCACATATATACAGCATATATATGTATAAGGTGTAGGCATGTGTTTGTGTAATTAAAGCTATGGCTTTAGAATGGAAGAACTCCTAGAAAAGTTGGTCCAACTAGTTAAACTGTTAGTCATGTTCAGAAGCAGAGTGGTATATATAAAAGGGAAAAATGATAAAATACGAAGGTGATCTATCAAGCAGCATAAATAAAAGATGTTAGGAATGAATATGAGAATGAGACAGTAGAGACAATTGAATCATAAGGGAAGTCTTTACAAAACTGTTCAGACAAAACTCAATAATCCATAGCTGAAGTGATATTTTTATGAGAATATATAATGCATCAAAATTTCTACCAGGAGATGATATGCCAAAATTAAATGGAGGTCATCTCAGCTATGCAAAGATGGTTCAACATATATCACAGCTCTTAGTCCTAAATCCATCATGAGGTGTGTTAAACAGGACTTTGGTTCTACCATATGCCCTGCCTTGACCTTGTTAACTTCAACATGAATAGGAATTAATTCAACTACTAACCATGTCTTTATTTCCTTTATTGTAAAAAAGAATAATAGAATCTCTGGCTCCCAATATAGCATACAAGGAACTTAGAAATTGTTATTCCATCCTAACAAAGAAAAGAAAGGTGAACAAAATAAAAAGAAACAATCAACTCTAAGATCTTTCTTAGATGAGAGATTCACAAGGTGAACTTCTGTCCTCAAAACTGTAGACAGATAGGTGGACAGAGAATCACAATCTCTCAGACAAGAAGTTCATGAACAGAACCCTGGAGGAACCAGAAGCTGGTTAGGAAAACCTGAACCAGAGGCTCAGGATGCAGATGCCTCAGAGCTAATTCCCTGGGAGCCCAGTCATATGGGAACACCCATATTTTTGTGAGTTTTACCCCCCAGGTGCTCAGTCAGGTTCTTCCAGATCAGAAAAAAATCTTGTGTTATCATCAGGGAAAGGGGAAAAAGCACCATCATGTTATGTTAATACACCAGAGCATTCTATTCTTCTTAACCAGTCATGCCCTGAGGACAAACTAACTAGAGCCTAACACTGGATTTTTTTTTTTTCGAGATACTAATCAGCCTGGAGGAAGGATAAAGTCCACTTTATCCGGTCCTAGCCTTCTACCTGAGAAAAAGAAATACCCAACTCAGGGACATTCTGGTCACATTTCAGTGACAAAGGGTGGGTATTGAGCCACATTGCAAGAGTCACAGTCCACAGGTACAGACTCACTAAAAAGCTGAGAATTAAATGTTGGACTGGACAATATTTCACTTGACCCACATCTTACATTTTCAGAGAGAAGTACTATCCTCACAACCAAAATACAGGGCAGTATCTACTGTAGTTCTTACCCTGTACATACTGCCTGTCATTAAACAACAAACAACAATAATAAGACATAGCAAAAGACAAAGTACATAGTTGTAAAAGACATGACAAGCACTAGAACCAGACCCCCGTAAGCCTAGTATGTAGGGATGATCAAATCATGAATTTGAAGCAACTGTGATTAAAATTTTAGAGATTTCAATGAGAACAAAGGACAGGAGAATCATACAAGTAGAAAGACATGCATTCTAAGAATAGAAAAAACTTTAGTGATTAAAACACAAGGTAGCATTACTGTCTTGATTAACCTATAGTATTTGTTGAGATCAAATGAGATAATTTGTCTAAATGGAAGAAACATTAAAAAGCAGTGAAGAATTTTAGAAAAGTGGTTGATAATAATTACTACCATAATCAATGATGAAAATGAATCATATAGCTCAAAATATGTGTTTTTTTGAGATGTGATTGATTCGTTATACAAGTTTTTAGATGCTAACTTTGAGTGGTACCTATAGATTAGCAATTTCATGTTTATGAATTTGGTACTAAATTATAGGCATGTGGGACCACAACATATACAGTTATACCCCATGCTTTCCCAGGTTCTTCTCCTCTTACAAGACAGACCTCACACCAGAAACTCACATGAGTAGCTTGGATTTGGATTGGGAGGTCATTTTCTTTAACGCAGAAGCTTTGTCTCACTTCCCACTGCAACTTTACACATATCTGAGTAGATGCAGCTTGAAAGGAACTGAACATTTGCTGAACACGTACCACATATGAGGTATTGTGCTCACTTAATCCTCAATAAGGTTACAAGGCCACTATTATTCTTTTCTCTATTTTGCATATAAGGAAACAGTTGGAGAGCATAACTAACTTAGAGAAGATCCCACAACTGGTAAATAAAGAGTGGAGTCCATACTTAAACTTAGCTTATTCTAGACATTTTCTACTATATTCAATTGCCTTCCATGTTAGATTGGTTTGGTCTCTCTGGGTTTGGTCTCTCAGGGAAGGCTTTTCAAAAGAGCTTTCCTTCCTAAGGTCACAGTTCCAACCTTGTAGAGCCCTGTAGGTGCCAAAAGGCAAAAGAAACAATAGGATGAAGAGACGTGTTTCAGAGCTACCATGGTGTCTCACCCTGCCATCAATGTAGTTTGATCGTGTAAACGACTGCACTTTATAAACTCACAGTAGCGCTCCTAGGGCACCTGAAACACCATCTCTACACAGAGCGGAGTAGAAACTAGCAGATCCAGGGCAAGAATCCATATGTTTTGTTTTACTCTGGGAGAATGCCACCATCTTTCTGCCACTGAACTAGCTTCCAGGGTAACCGTGACACCACAAAAGCAACTTCACAACAATTCGCCCTAAGCTCTGATGACACCAGAAAAACAACATTCCTTGCTCTAAGACTACTGACAAAGGAATAGGAGGCTCAGGAAAAAGAGGAAGAAAGCTTCTGTTCTGAAGCCAGAGCACAACAGAGCCCAGGGAGGGAGGGGAATATTGTAAGTGAAGATCAAATAAACTTGTAAAATCTGACTGGAAACAGCACAGAATGACATGAAAGGGTCATTGGGAGGCCCAGTAAAAATAGAAGAGGCTGAGAACTCTCCACCAAGCAGGACTTCAGCAGAAGCTGCACTGAAGGAGGCTGGGGGTTGGGGGAAGCCAACTTCAAGGCATCTGTAGAAATGAGAGCAGTTCATCAGTTCTCTCCCCAACTTATTCTCCCAATAGACTCAATCCACTATGAAGTTTTTATTCCTGCTTTTATTAAGGCAATTGGAAAGAATTAGGCATTGTCTAGCTGGGTGGGGTCCATTAGGGACTCATAAAGAAGAGGATTAATTCATTGCTACAGACCTAGGAGTCTCTGCAGACATTATGAGGAAACAAGAGGAAGGCACAGCTCTGCCCTGCCTCATACCCTCCAATTCTGCAATCAGAATCACGAATTCAGGACATAGCCAAGGCTCTTCTCCGATACCCCTGCAATCTGCCGGTTGTAATGATATGATACAACACTAAGAGTTTAACTAAGGGAGCCCCAGCTACAAGTTGGAGATTCCAAGCACTGATCATTGTCCTCTAAGTTCATCCCATTTACCATTGCCAGCATGTGGTACCACCGGCAATAATCCCTTCAGCATTATCAAGGGCCGCGATGTTCACTAAGGTTCTTTCTTCAGCTAACTATGACAAGGGCAAGAGTCCTGATGGGCTTCAGTAGTTTAGTACAGGGAACAGTCATTTTATATCTCTAGTGGTTATGACAACCTTCTTGGTCTAGAAGAAAAGAAGAGTCTTTCATGCAGTAACCAGAAAAAGAATTCCTAGATGACATGCACTCTATCCTTGTTATTTTAGAAGGCTAAAGAGAGCTATGCAACATTTTCACACAGTTTACAGCCTTCCATGCATTCATACCCGCTCATGGCGTTTTCAAACTTACTTTTAGCAAAGAGCTGAGAGATAGTTTTCCTGGTGTCCTCTGACCCCTCATACTCCTTCTCTGCCAACTGCTTGTTGGCTGTCTCTAGACGCTCTGTGGAATGTGGAGACAATCAGCAAGGCCTTACATAAAGTTCCAAGCACGTGCTATTTGCCCTCTAAATACTGACCTTTGGCAAAAGTCTACATCTTCTTGTCAAACAGTGATGGGTGACATAGACCCAGGTTTACTAGTATGAATCTCAAAACAATTCAAGACTACTAAGGTAGGGAAGAAAGCAGTAAATAATTAACACTTCTACATAAAAAATTCTAGATTTCAATAAAATAATCTTTCCCAGAATATACAAATATATCTTTCATTAACCAGGAAAAAGACTATCAGTGTTTCTATGAAATCTTGAGGGGCTGGAGAGATGGCTCAGTGGTTAAGAGCACCATCTGCTCCTGCAGAGGACCAGAATTTGAACCCCAGAACCCACCGTAATTCCAGTTCCAGGGGATCCTATGCCCTCTTTTTACTTCCATGGGCACTGCATAACATGGGTACAGTTACATACATGCAGGCATTACTACAACCATACACATAAAATAAAAATAATAAATAAAATATTTTTAAAAATCTTTAAAATCGTGTAATAGGGACCATGGCAGCATTTAGTCAAGCCCCTTGACTTGACAGACAGATACAAGGAATCCAAAAACAGGAAATGTCCTCAAGACCATCAATTTTCATGGTGGTTGAAGGTGGAAATATTTCCCAGAATTTGCAATATTATCAGGTGAAGGCAAAAATAAAAGGCCTCATAGCAGCAGAGGTCATGACATTCTCACATTTACAAGGTGAGAAGGCAAGCCTCTACCAAACCTGTACAGGATGAGAGATTTCACCAGTCATGGGAGTGGTTCAGGTAGGTCAAAGAGTCCCAGGAAGCACTGTGACCTGGTTAACAGCTAGTATATCAGTCAGATATAAACTCCCACTTAAAGAAGCTTGCAACTATTACTGCAGTAATACACTTTAAAAATAAAACAGACTGGGGACTGAAGAGATGGCTCAGTGGTTAAGAGCACTGGCTACTTTTGTAGGGGACCTAGATTCAGTTCCCAGCACCTTATGGCAGCTAACAAACATCTGTAACTCTAGTTCCAGGGAATCGACACCCTCTTATGACCTCTGTGGGTACTGCATGACACAGGTACACTTCCATACATGTAGGCAATACATACTTACATAATAAAATAAAATAAAAATAATAAAATATTTTTTAAACCAGACTGGAATAAGCCATCCAGTTTTCTAACTCTGCCAATGGATTAGTCAACCAAAAAGAGCCTTGCTGGGCCCTGCTCAACCCTTTCCATCACCAGATGCCTCAGAAACACAGACAAGAGCCAGGTATAGTGGCACATGCTTTTATCACCACTACTGAAGAGGCTAAGGTAGGAAAATCATGTGATTTCAAGGCCAGTGTGGACTACATATTAAGTTCTAGGCCAGCCAGAATTACATAAAGAGACCTTGTCTTAAAAACACACAAGCGAGCAAACAAAAGAAGCACATAGCTAAGTTTACTTGTTCCCTCACCTCTCAAATCTCTGTTGAAGTCATGCATTCTCCGAATCTCCCCCTCCAGCTTATTCCTCATCGCTTTCTCCAGGGACTCTCTTTTGGAAGATGACTTCACTAGGTTCTCATAAGCCTCTGAGACACGCTGAATTTCTGTCTCCACCTTAACATAAAAAAGGAAAGATGGTGGTAATGGTACGGGATTGATGGGGAAGATGGTTTAGAATCATGTATGCAAAACTTTAGTAACATCTTTCAGAGCTTACAGATGGCTAGGAGGCAAGCAGTACTACATAATCAGAACTAAGTTTCAAGAACAACTTTCCAGCTTCAAAGTGTAAGTGCATTGCTTCATAAAATTTCCTCAGGGCAAAAACGTGTGTGTGTGTGTGTGTGTGTGTGTATGCTTAGTTTCTGTAATCAAAGAAGTTGGTACAACAGAATGGTCTTCATAAATAGGGTTAGAATGATTTTAATTTATGAATATTTTTCTAATTTTAAAAATACTGACATATATTGCATGTGGATATATTTTTTGGAGGACTCAAAAGATATCTTTCTGCCAGTTTATTTCAATTTGTCCTGACATCTACCTGAACAAAGATACCTTGCCCGATTTTAACAAAGAGAATAGTTGAATTTCTTTTCCAAGTATGGATCAGTGATAGATATAACTGCTAAAAACCCAAACCTTCAGCCTCATACAGTATAATTCATTTGAATTTAGCAACTATTTAGCTAAGAGTTAAGTAGTGGAAAGGTAATTAAAATTTTGGAGTGTGAATGCCTGATTGACAGCATCCACATTACCCTTGCCCTCAAAGAGCTTTCATTCTAATCAAGCCAAATAATATATGGCAAGATACAGCTTTAAGAAAGGAAAGAGGAATGCTACAGAGCAAAAAGAAGGAAGGAAAAAAGTTATTACTGGTTTGGGGGAAGCAAGAAAAATAATTTCAGGGAGAGGTGGCATTCAGAATCAGATCCTGAAAGCTGGGTCAGATTTCAATGAGCAGAGGTGAAGGGAAGGGTATTCTATTCTGAGTAAGCAAAGGCATTCCCAGAATGACTAGTAGTCTCTTTTGGCTAGATACTGAGGTAGCCACAGAGAAGCTAAAGGGATATGGCTGTGAAGACAGACTGAAGTCAGATCATAAAAAGCTTTTAATGCCAGGCATTTGGACTTCATCCCATAGTCAGTGAGAAACCAGTACAGATTTTTAACTGAAATTCATGATTAGTGTTCTGTTTTATGACACCTCTGAAATTTCATAAAATGAAAACAAAAAGAGAAAGAAAGCTAAAAGACAAAGGCTCTGGTCCTGAATCAGTCAGAATCAGGAAGAAAACAAGAAATTGGACTCCAGAGTTTTTCTCTAACTAGTACAGCTGCACATACAATAACCACAGAGATTATTTGCATGTAATTTGTATAAGACAAATAAACCCCATGGTTTATTGAGCAATTTTAAAATTACTTTTGATTCCTGCAACCATTCTTCATTTCTTCTCAGTTTACCACTCTCCTTGAACAAAGCTCAGGATGCTACTGGGGGAAAAAATCAGGTGCTTCAGTGGAGGACTGGGAGGCGGGGGTAAGCTTACAAATAACTAAGATTCAAGCTTCCCCCATCTCCAAAATCCTGCAGGAGACAGGACTGCCTACAAACAAACGAGGCTTATACCACTGAAAAGAGCAGACTTGAAAGTGTTTTTCTCCTTGCAGATGGCACCAAGATAGCAGCACAGAAGGTGAAAACTGGTGAATGGCATTTAGAGACAAGATCTGCAAGGCCTGTGCCTGATGAAGCTTTTGCATGAAATTCAAGTGCTGGAGAGGAGAAAATAAACATTTCCATTTGAAAGAGGAGGCTAGGTGTTGGTCTGCAATGGACAGCCTTGAGAGAGTGAGTGAGACTTCCTACTTAACCCCCAGAATGCCACATCTGGAAGGCAGTGACTTTACTCAAGGTGCAAACCCCGCTAATCCTTCCCTTTCCCCTTGTGAAGATACTGTCCCCTTCCAAAGAGCATGGCAAGGTGTGCTACTAAGGCCTTCTGGGAAAGATAGGCAGAAAAGGGACGATCTACTGGGGAGGTGTGGGTAATTTAGGAGGCAGGGCAAGAGGGTGACATTGGATTTCCAGACTTGCTCTGTGTACTTACTACTGCATGCGCCTCCGGTGCTTTTATTTTTTCTACCACCACCATCTGGTGTGTACCTTGTTCTCCCTACTTTCCTTTTCTTCTTCTCCCCCACCTGTCTCCTCCACCTCAGCATTGGCTTGAACTGCGCTTTTTCTGACACTCCAGTTGTATCAACTGGCTGATCTAAGGCACCTCATTACATCCAGGAAACAAATAACAAAATTCCTACTGTTTTTCTTCCTTGTCACAAACCTAATCCCCTAATATCAGTCACCACGAACCTTTGGCAAAGAAGATTTGGGCTAAATCTTCAGTGATTGTGTCAAAGATGGGGCCAGGCCACCCAAAATTGAAAGCTTGAGGAAGGGTGTCAATAATCGAATCAGTCAAAGTGGATTTCTAGTTTGTGGACAGAATTCTAACATCAGTGTAATGTGGGAAGGGGTATAGCTAAAACGTGAACAAAGAAAATAATAAACGAAGACAAAGGCAGAGCCTAATTGCTCTCAGTTCACCCTGATAGCCCCCAGCTGAATTTGGGAAAATTGAGAAAGGGAGTATCTTTTTCTCACAATATAAAAGTACTTAAGTATGGACAAATAAGTGTTCCTCTCCATTAGGTAATAGATCGGATGTTGGCAAATTCTCAAACTCATTCAAGCCCCTGAATTTTCCACTCCTAGTGTCTCCTGAGGACAGAGTTGCTGAACAACACAAGGCAGCTGCCCCTCCCTCTCACACTTCCAGCCTTAACTACCTGAACCCTGTATATTGCAAGGGGATCATAGCACATGAGCTCCATATGGACAAAAGCCACAAAGAGGCTGCCAAAGGCATAACCCTATTCACCAACAGCTACTAGAGGCCAAGAGCTGAGGTTCCTACCTTGGGGCACTCAACAGCTGAAGTTCCAGCTACAGGAGACAGGGAGACCCAGGGAAGAATGGCAACTGGGAGCACACTCCTTTTCCAGCTTCCTCTGCCTAGAGCTGTCACCTGTCACCCAGCTGTGATGCTAAGCACCCCCCAACATACACATACACACACACACACACACACCAGAGAAAAAGAGCAGATGTTGAATTGGAGCTGTGGAGAAAGGCTAAAGCAAAAGAGGGGAGGAGGGCTAAGTGTCAAAAAGCAATTGCTAGAACTCCCACAAGGAAAAATACTGTCAGCCTTTTCCTGAATCAGACAAAATCTCGGCTGGTGGGATGTTTTTACCAGAAATTAGGAACTATGGTTTTATATTTATGATTCAAAATTATATGGAGCAACTATAATGAAGAAAAAAGGCCTTCAAATGCTAGAAAGTTCTCCAGGAACACAGATCTTACCGATATTCTTGACTTGGTGAAAAAGTATCTCTGCTGATATTTGGAATTCTAGAACAATCAAGTTTTCTTTAAGACTTTGGAGTCTGGGAAATCTATATTTTCTCTTAGTATAAATCTAAAATGTTACTTCTCTTAAGGACACCAGCAGGAGGGGAAGAAGACGACAAGAGAAGGTAATGGGGAGATGAATTATGATTAAAGTACATGACATATGTACATGACTATATCATCATGAAGTTCATTATTTTGTATAATTAATGTACACTAATAAAAACAAAAAAAATAGTTACCCTAGATAGACAAGCAGACAGCTATTTTCAAAGTTTTTTAGATAGAAAAATCTCAAAGATCTACTCATGAGCCATGTTAGGCACCCACAGGTGAAATGTTTATTACAGGTATTTAATAAGTCCCACTATTAGGAATTTTTTTGAGACTATGTAGCCCCAGCTGGCCTGGAACTCGTTGTACAAACCAGGCTGGCCTGGATCTCACAGAGATCTGCCTGCCTCTGCCTCCTGAGTACTGTGATTATGCCTGGTGCACACTATTGAGATTTAAGGAAGTTTGTAACGCTGCCCCAAGGGAAGCCTCACCTTCTGTAATCTTGCCACCTTCTCATAGCATCCATCTAACTCCTGCCGCAAGTTCCGGTTCTCATCTGAGAGGATCTCAACCATCTGCTGAGCTCTGGAAACAATGGCAAAAGGATCAGCCGGCATGGGCTGATAAGAAGCAGACTGCTGAGCCCGAGGCATAGCTGAGTAGGTTTCTCCTTGCTGCTGTGGTGGAGGTGGAGAAGTCAGGCCTGGCTGGGAGATACGGTAGTGATCCCCCTGGTGACTCTGATTAGGAAGGAAATGCTGCTGCTGCTGCTGCTGCCTTGGCAGAAGAGCAGAGTGATCGCCTTGGTTTGAGACCAATGGGTGTTGAGCAGGAGACAGTCTAGTTGACGGTGGAGATTGCAGCAAGGGCAAAGATCCCCCAGATGTTAGAGAAGAAGTAGGGCTGTGAGGCTGAGAATTCCTGGCTGATAACGACAGCGAGATGTCTTGTGTTGGCCTGCAAAACACAAAATGCAAGTTCTGATTAAGTTCTTTCCCAAAGCACAAGTGCAGGAAAGCAGGAGGTAACTGCAAGACAGCAGCACAATAAGGAGCAGGTAGTTAAGTCTAGGGGATCCCATCAAAGATCTCTAGAGTGCATTCTCATCCTGATCTTCTACGACTCTGCTGGAGACAAACACATGTGATCCTTTGTTGAATGAACCAGATGACCTCTTAGGTAACTCTGTGAAACTCTAAATGATGCCCACATCCTTCACTGCTCACTCATGTTCAATGACTCTTCTAAAAGTAATGTTCATATCACTGTTGAAAACTGAACCTGTTCAAAATAACTTTATTATTTATGGGGTCCAGTACACGCAAATTTATATTTAGAAAATACGTTTAAGCCAGGCGCGGTGGCACACATCTTTAATCTCAGCACTTGGAAGCCAGAGGCAGGTGGACCTATGAGTTCAAGGCCAGATTGGTCTACACAGTGAGTTCCAGGCCAGCTGGGGCTAAAGAGAGACCCTGTCTCAAAAAGACAGAAAGAAAAGAAAAGAAAAGAAAATATGCTTATTTATTTACAACAACCATTAAAATTGCCTTTCATATTTCTGTCTGAAACTACCTTTGAGAATTCATGTGCTCATCAAAAATTCCTCAAAGATATGAAGATACTTATTACATTTAAATTCACCAAATATTTATTATTCATTCCAGTTATTGACTTAATGATCCCCTTTAACAGTAACAATACAGAAATTTAGAGTTACAGGCAACAACATCCTATTATTTTTGATATAATGAATAAAAACTGTAAGGATTGGAAAGGTATTAAAATGATTTATATTGAACAGGGAAAGCAAGGGCCTAAAGACGGAAAGAGATGTGCTGAGGGATAGGGATGCAGCTCAGCTCTAGAGCACAAGCCTGAAATGCATGTAGTTCTAGGTCTTATCTTGAATGAGAAAGAGACAGGGAGAGGGAGAGACAGAAAGATGGAGTCAGAAAAAGAGAGAGACAGAGACACAAAGACAGAAAGATGGGAAGAATAAATTAGGGTGAATTAGTGATATTACAAAAGATAAACCCCATTTTTTTCTATTCCCATTTTCTGGTTCATTCACTGTCATAATCCATTAACTTCTGTACAAATCCCCAATTTATTGCTTATAAAATATTCTAGAAGAAAAACTTGGGTACATTGTTTAATGTGTTTCTCCCATTCCCATATGATTTTGTATATTTGACTACGAGACAGGAAATATTTATACCTAGGTACAGAGTTTGTACATAACTATTAATCAGAGCATGTGGATGGGATACATCCCACCACCACTAACAGGAAGACTATCTGTCCATGTACACTGAGGGCAAAGTGTTTCTTCACCCTCCCCCACCCATGATTATCTAATCTCACATGCTCCAGAGTCCTGTGGACACTTGTCTTCCAGTAGATATTTCTCAATCCAGGGAAGACAGATGGCTAAGAGCACGGACTTGAATTCTAACAAAGAACTTCGGAGACTTTTGCTACTGCTTAGCTGTTCAACCTTGTTCAAATTACTTAATCTGCAAGAGCTTTTTTTTTTCTTTCCTGAGGTTGTAAATGAATTGCAAAAATACTGGGGCCTTCACAATTGTTATTTTAGTAAGAATTATTATAGCTTCTTATCTACCAGTCAGATAAGCTGACCTTGTTAACATTTTCCCTACAGAATATCAGTTCATCTTTGTGCTAATTTGCATAAAATTCTTGGTAAAATTGGGACAAATGGCCAAGAGCAATTAACTGGCAATCCAGTCACTTAAAAAAATCTCTCTCACACACCCAATTACCAGCATCTTATATATCTATTCCCAAGAGCGCCTCACTATACAGGCTGTTTCAAACTACAAAATCATTCCAAATATTTGCTCGTGGACACATCTAATAACCTTGATATTCACAAAAGCCCTGAAACTTGCTTATATCTTGGTTTCTATCACATAGTCCATATACGCCTCTGCTATACACATATTCTTCCAATTTTATACATGTCACTAATTATTGACTATTGAAGAAGACAGACAAGCTACTTGCGGATAGAAGAAATGACAGTATTCAAGACTACAACTGGAAGTTTGCTGCCATACATAATCTTTATTTCCAAAATCTCAAAGTATCCTTCAAAAGCTTGGGAGCTGCTTAGAACTTACCTGGCAAAGAGTTTGTATTTTCCCCTCTATGGACCTTCAATTTCCTTTCAGGTAAAAAGGACCACGCATTCTCCTTCCTCCTTGAGTAAGAGCTTTTTAAAATTTATATGTAGGTATATAAAATATTTTTCTTTTTTTAAAAAGGAGGCTAGAGGGATGGCTCAGTGGTTAAGAGCACTGACTGCTCTTACCGAGGAGCTGGGTTCAATTCCCAGCACCCATATGGCTGCTTGGGGATCTGACGCCCTCTCCTGACCTTCATGGGCATTGCAAGACATGGGTGCACTTACATACATGCAGGCAAAACATTCATACACATAAAATATTTAAAATAATTTTATATGTAATACAAAGTATGTTGGGATGTGGAAGGAAGGACTTTTGTATCTCAAACAAAAAACAGGTCTTCAATTTCATATTATCCAAATCCTGCTTTCAAAATTTAAGGGGGAAAAAATCACTACACTAACTTCTGCCCTTTTTTCTAGAATTTGGAAGCCCATTGCCTCAGAGGTAGGTGCTGTCTCTAAAGACTGATCTCCCAGTTCTGAACTGGGTGCCCCCTCATCTCCCCGAGAGCCCATCAAGCAAACCCAGTCATTCTCTCAAACAGAATTAGCCATTTACCTCCCTTCTCCCAGAAGGCCGACTAGCTGGTCAAGGCCATGGAAAGTGTGAAGCTTCTCCCAGTCCTAGAAGGGTATCAAGGTTTCCAGAAGGAGGTCTCTCAAGTGAGGTAAGCCAAGATGAAGATAAGCAAAAATAAAGCAAAACAGCTGCCCCTTGGTTCCTACTGCCACAAAAAGAAGCAGACCTCAGTGCACTGTGATGTTGGAAAAACCAAGGCAGTCTTTCATTCCCAGGTTTGCAAACAAGCAAAGACTTGGGCAGTCACAAAGAAGAGAGTCACTCCAAGCAAGGGAACTCCATCTGGGCTCCAGCATCTGCCCACCATCAAAAGGCAGGGCAGTATTAACACTGAGATGAGTTTCCCCCTGAGAACAGAGGCTTGAAAGAACACACAGTAGGGGAAGAACTGTGGACTATGTCAGAGTTTGCCAAAATACACTGAAGATTAAACAATAAGAGAAAGAGTAATGATAGTAATAAAGTGGCAGCCACAAAAGTGCTGGGCTCTCCAGGTCCTTCTACTCCACAGCATCTGGAAACAGTTCGCCACTGACACACCAACTGGGAACAAGCCACCAGAAGACAATAGAATCACATGATCCCATGGAAGACCTGACTTGCTTCTCTGCCATTTACCCGTTTCACCCTGCTCCTTCCTCAGACTCCTAGGCTACTGGTTCTCTGCAGAAGAGGAGACCCTGCCATCTATGCAGGGCAGAGACCACTCACCAAAATTAGATTCCTCCCCAAAGCTGGGTCAGGAGAGAGGCCAACCTTTCGGAGAAAGCTTGTAAGGAAAAAAATGGAAAGTAAAAGCCAAACACCTGTATATCCAGGAAACACAGGCCTTTCCATCCTGCTACCTTCTCAGTCACTCTCACACACGCCTGCACATACAACAGTGCCTGCCCACATGAGTACAAGCCCATACACGTACACTATCATTAGAGCAGGTGCCAGCCTGTAGTGAGCTCCTCCTCGGCACTGAAAGGGTGCCTCTCCCAGGCTCTGGGACGGTGAATCCTGGAGCAGCCTGCGGAGTTCCGGATGGTTCCAATTGCACAACCAGCCCTGCTCTGAACTACAGATTTAGGTCACCCTGAGATTCCGCTCAACTAGCATTTCAAGAAACCTCAGATCTGGGCATGATTTCAACAACTGAAAGGAGGTGGCTGCTTTATAAACAGAAATGATTTAATTTTTTAAGCACTTGATAAATGTGTAAACCCAAGATTAAAAAAAAAGGCTCAGCACTCAGAAAGACAAAGATTCAGAAATTTTAAAATTCTTCACATGGCTTGGCCTTGTTTCTCATCTGGACTTCTGGGCATTCAAGCTATTTATTTTTTAAGCAGGGAGGAGGGCACAAGGAAGATGAAGCAATCAACGGATTGTTCATAGCATTTTGTTCATTTCAACAGCAAATTTCCTGCATTTCTTTGCATCTCTGAAGGCAAATAAAGGTGTGTGTATGTTTTAACAGCAATTTGTTCAAATAAAAACGATTTTCATCCTGATCTGCAATTTGTGGGCTCAGAACTAAAAATCGGTCTTTCAATTATTTGCTAAAAGCAGCAGTTACTTGGCAATGTATTCACAAACCATACAGCTAGCTGGTTACAGGAAATAAAGAAGGAAAAGGTGTCACACCTAAATGCAGTGCACTTCAAGAAAGCTGTTCAACTACCACCTTTTGCCAAAGACCTGTCAATAGATGACACTCCCTTATGTGGGGTATGCAAAATGTTTACAGGCAGAATTTGATGTACATTTAGACTTCACGTGGAGCACCTCTGACATCAACCATTTTGTTATTCACTAATGTATCATTCACACTGCTCCTGCATACCTGTACATTAAAATACAAGGGCTGGGGGTGGAGCTCAGTGGTAGCATGCTTGATTAGCATGCTGGAGGCCCTGGATTAGATCCTCAGCACCAGCAAAAATAAAAACAAAGGCAGGTCAGCATGGGCTATGTTGTTTCAAGGGACAGAAATAGAATGATAGCCACAGACAATTTAGAAGAATTTATCTTCCTCCTATAAAATGTATGCAGCTACATTTCTCTGGTTGTTAATCAGTACGAGAAGAAAAAAAAAAAAACTTCTTTGTCTGATTATTTATTTAGGCAGATCAAAGGGCTTTCCCATCTAGCTTCAAACACTGTGGGAGTCATTTCAGATCATGAACAATACTGGTGAATGAGTTCTGAAAATAGCTTTCCTGGGAAGGCGGGCCATGTGTTGAGCGGGGCTTTTGCTTCAGCTCCACACCCCAGCCAACACTCCCCTTCCACAAGGCAGCAGATGTCAGCCCATCCATAGCCCAGAAGGGAGGCGGTCCCTCAGACTCTTCCATACTGATGGGATAAGCAAAACAGAAACCCTAGGCTTCATTGATATTTTGTTATCTTGAATGGGTTTCCACTAAGCTATATAGTCCAACAGTCCAGCTCTTCTCCGAGTCTTCCATTTTATTGGCAGATTAGAATAGGGTTCCAGCTCTGGTTTAAAGCTGAATGGCCCTATATTTGTCGCCATTTCTTGTTCTAAAACACTTATTAGAATTTAGGATCCTGCCTTTTGAAAGTTTCAGAGGAGCTAGAAAAGGGTTAGGAAATCAACCTGGGTTAAGGAGAAGAAAAAAAAACTGTAACCAATAAAGCAAGGGGTGGAGCCTAAAGTGAACTGCCTCTGGTTAAAACAAAATTATCACATAGAGGGGGAGAAAATTAAATACCAGGAAATGCTAGGCAAGTTCTCTTACCACTGCCCTACTCAACTCCAAGTGCTTTATCTCCTGAGTCACCAATTTCAAGCCAAGAGGCTCCTTCCAAAATGAATGACTAGACAAGAGACAGAAAAGAAGACACCAAATAGATCACAGGCCTAGTGTGTAAGCAACCTAGAACTTCAAACCTTAAGGATACGCATCATTATATAACCCTGGGCACAAAGCAGGGAAACTACACATAAATGCTGTCATTGTTGTCCATTGTTTAACCCTTCCCTGGCCCCAGGTGCTGAAATTCTACCACCAAATAATACACAGAATTGTAGAATTATAGGATCTAGTGAATAAAGCAAGGGGCAATAGACTTCTAAATGATTAAGAAGTATATTTAGGAAGAACTAAAGGAACAAAACAAAAGTTCTGAGAGTAGTTTTCCTTGTGCATTTCAGCAAGTGGAAAAACTCCTACAGAGATGATGGAAATTTACCCCAGATGCTTAAAAACATTAAAGACAACTAACAAATCCTACAGAACAAATAGGAAGCTGGGCATATTCTTCCTGAATGCCAAGAAAGTGCAAAACAAGAAACATTCTGAACCTAAGCATGTATATAATCTTCCCTTTTCTATCAATAATCATATCTAGCTGGTTGTTTAGTATACAAAATTATCACAATAATTCTCTGGGCAAGTACAACTAACAGGAAACAGATTAGTTCACAAAAAAATGTGATGAAAGTTTTATGGAGGAGAAAGCAGGGAAGTGATAGGATACTGCAAACTAATTAAAGTCCAAGAAAAATTACTTCTGCCTCTCAAAGATGGGCTTAAGAACTCTGAAGATGAGAAACATTGATCTTAAGAGGCAGGAAAGCAAATCAGTACTAAAATACAACACTGTTGTCTTCAGTCACTAGGCACTTTGTTATATCAAATTCCTGCCCATTCCTTCCCTTAAGATTCCCAACAGGCAGCAGAAGAGGCTAGTTGTGGATGAGGTCAGGAAATGAGAGAAAGGGAACTCTCTTACCTGGCTGCTCCATACTCAGGGGGGTGCTGATACCTCATCAGTTGCCCCTCTGTTCTCCCTGGCTGGTTCATGCGATGCTCACTATAGAAGTGCCCTGGCTCTTGGGGCTTGCACACTACAGACTGTGGTGGCATGCCCTTAAAAGGATACTCTGGTGGGGGACCTCGGTGTTCCATGCCTTTCAGGCTATGCTGGCTGGGAGATGGCCCTTGAGTCTTGTAGAATTCACTGGAACTTGTGGGATTCTTGTAGAGGTCATTGGGTTGTGGTGGTGAGAGAGGAGCACTGGTAACAGGTGGATGGGCTTTAACTCCGCTGGTAGCCAGTGACATCTGCATTAGTCGTTCACTCAAGGAGCGGACATGCCCTTGCTTAAGGTCTCTGAGTCCTTCATCCTGGTGCATCTTCCCAGGATTGAGCCGCTGAACGGATGGGCGTCCTTCGGTTCTCATCTTCTGGTTAGTAACTCCGGTGACATAGAAAGCAGCTCCAACGCTGGCATGCTGTTGGCCTCGGAAGTACTGAGACTGAACCTTGGCTTCTTCATAGGTTGGGAGTTCCTCATTATTCTGCATCCGAGGGGACAGCTGCTTCTCCATAATGATGTTTTCTGATTGAATTTCTTGGCCCTGGGGTTCCTGACGAGCAGCGTGTGCCACAAGTTGTTGATGGTGATCCTGAGGATTCAACACATCATTCTGAGGGCCTGGGTTCCCACTGCCAGTGGGGAAAGGAGGACCATTCCCTGTGGCTTGCTGATGAATAGCAAGCAGATTGCGATTTTCACTAGGATTGCCATAGCGAAGCTGCTCTTGTAGTAGACGTTGCAGTACTGTAGTTCCTCCACTTGGCTGTTCTTCAGAACTTCTCATCTCTATCGCTGCTGGTCCTTTGTGAAGAGAGAGAGAAATTGGGCACTTGGGCTGCCCTTGACCTGGGAAGGGGAAACAGGCAGCTTAACATCCAGCTGATGGATAAATAGGTCCTCTAAAGGGGAAGAAAAATGTATTTTTGATGGTGAGGATTCCATTGCAGAAACAAATTAGAGAACCGAATTCACAATTCATAGATGAATTCAAGTTATTCTTGTGGACCAAAAAGCTGTTTCCTCTTTTACTTTTAGCAGAACTTAAATAATCATGACTTAATTCCTAAGAGGACTGGGCAAACCAGGGACTGTGAGGTAGGGTGATCAGAGTGGTAAATTTTCTAAGGGCCTTACTCATAAGGTTCATCACTCTGCACTCCATTTAATTTTAAAATAAAATTCTGTGGCTATGGGGGTAGAGGCAAAAAAGTGGGGCAGAAAAGGTACCCCATAAGCAGAAATATGTAAGGCAGTTCGGCATGTGATGGGAAAGAAAAAATACAAAATAACTAAAATAAATAAAAGTTACATACATACATAAATGAACCTTGCCTTGAAATATTTTTTTCTTAGATTACCTTCAACTCTGAAACATGCCCTTAAAAATCACTTATACTATCCATTTTGGATGTTCAATGACTTAAAAATGACTTGAGAAAAGTATTATAGACAGTTTTTCCTTCAGCCATTCAAGGATAGACACAGATATTTTGCAGTTGTTGCTGGATCAGAGATGCTTTACAAGGAAACATCACTCTCATTTGAAATATGCCTCTGACAATATTTAGAAACTGAAAAATAAAAGTTCATCCTTCTGAAAAAATTATGATTACCATCTCACCGAGTACCATCATCAGTCCTTCTAAGGAATTGATGTGGATCTGGTAAAACTGATAACAGCAACACAAATTAAGATTCAAGTTATAATCATACTATGGTGTGCAGGGAACCTAAATCACTGAATCTTTTTTCTTTCATAACACCTATTTTCTCATCTGAAAAACTGAATGGCAGGTAACATGCATCACTCCCCCTCTCACAGCACTGTATTCTACATACACATTCATGGGACACTCAAAGACTCTTTGGAGAATCTGTCACGTTAAGTACTACTAGTAAATACTAATTTTAAATAATGTAATTTTCACTCTAAAGATCTGAATTCACTTGGTGTAACTGCACATATCACACACAAAGTCACTATAAGGGTCAGCATAAATAGCCTTAGGACTCCAGATGACAACTCTGGAATCTGTCCACTAAGCCTTTATCTCTGTGACAGTAAGCCACCTCCAACCTCTCTGCAAACATAAACTCCTTTCTTTAGTGCTGTAAGGCATTCAGAATGTGAACAGCAGATGAGCATCTTCTCTCCTTTCTTGTTTCTTGATGGCTGTTACTACCTGTGTGCTATGGAACTATGTGACTCAACAGTAAATGTCCCAAATCCCCTTTCATTATTTTTTATTTAAGCAAGTAATTAACTTATTGATTTTGTGATGCTGGTAATGAAACCTGGGGTCTTATGCATCTACATCTGAGCTACACTTCCAGCCCAAGAATCCCTTTCTAAATACCATCCATATTCTTTTGGGAAGTGCCTGCTGAGCACAAACAGGCTGATGAACGTGCCCTTTAATTCCTTTTCCCTACATTCCAGTGACACTCTGGAGCTGTATTTGAACTGACAAACAGGGACTCAAGTATAAAAATCTCTTCTGTGGTCTGAACCTGGACAGATAGCTACCGTACTTCTTTTCTTCTAGCAAAGAAAAAAAAGTGGAAATAAGAATGTATGTGGTTAAAGAAAAGTCACTTCCAACCCACTCTTCCAAGGCAGGGAAATACAGACATTGAGCTGTCCCAGACCCCAAACCCTCAAAAGTATGCCACCCCCTCCCTTGCCACATCCACCCATCAAGCAAGCACATATAGACACCCCAGCATGCACACGTGTGGGCATGAGTGAAGACAGGGAGGGAGGGAGGGAGGGAGGGAGAGAGAGAGAGAAATGGGCAATGGTTCGTACCTATTTCTGCTTTCTTTTAGGCTTAAAGCCTTGATCAGGATAGGGAACTCTTGCTTATGAGCAGCTCCAGAAACAGCAGCAGCAGATTCCCTCTCCCCTAACACTCAGGTCAGGGTAAGCGCCGCCAAGAGTCCAACCACTGGTCACTCTGAAATGTTCAGGAGGAAGAGGGAGGGAGAAATAAAAATGTCGTTTCTATGTTGCCACCAAGAGCCAGCAGTTAACCAAACCACTCCTTCCAAGGGAATGTCTTGTCCTATGTTGCTTGGCTTTTAAATGAGTGGCACAGTGTATTTCCACTAGGGCAGGAAAGAAACCCCACCGTCGAGTTGCTAGGTGCAGGAGGTCATGCCCATCTCCAGCTGATAAAAAAAGCTCATGTGTGACCCTGGAAAGGGCTATTGTGTTCAAGCCTCCCAGCCTTGGAGAGCCATCCCTATTACAATGCTAGATGATCAAGAGAGCCACAACCTTTGGGAACAAAGTTCAATTGCTGTCGGTAGCAGAATAGGTTCATTAGTTTCACTGTCCCACATCCCAGAAGGAAAGGCAGTCATCATAAAGTGGGTCTGGGTCCAAAACAGACTACTCAGTATCAAACTCCTGATTTAACTGCCTCAGCATCAGGTGGGCAGAAGAAAAACAAAACTTCAGCCAATTCATTTAATATTTATTGCATATTAACTATTCCAGACATTTGCCAGTCTCATGCTAGACACAAGGCATACAGAGGCGCACGAAGTATAGTCCTTGCTCTCATGGAGCTTACAATCTAATCAATGGCCATTCACTCTTGCAAGAGCAAGAATGCTGACCACCATTCCCATCCAGAGCAGCAATCTTTCTCCAAGCAGCAGAAAATGGCTCCAATTGCTTTCTGAGCACTTCCTCTGACCCAGTGTCTCAGCAAAAGGAATCTACTACATTGGCACTAGAGATGCCATGCGAATGCCCCACAGACATGAACTTGAGATTGTCTTCATTTACACTTTCTGCTTTGAATCCTTCTAAAAGTCCTCATCCAAATCCAACCAACATGGTTGTAAAGCTTGGGAGTTTGTGTTTAGGTAAGGATGCACATGAACGACATCCTGGCCTAGCCATGACTCATTCATATCACCCTAAAGGGAAAAAAGCCTTAACCCACAGCAGAGGCTCCATCTGAGGTACGACAATGCAGAAGAAGCACAGGAGTATCACTGCATGTTGGGCACGTGCCTAAAATATTCAAGTTAAAAAAACTTCACAAACTACACAGTGATTAATTTAACATTATTTCCTTGCAATGTTGCCTAAATTAAACTGAGAAGATACAGGGTGAAGAAACCTGGAAATTTGTCTTTCCATCTTGTTTTGGCCCAAAGAACAATCATGATCAAAAACAAAATTGTCTCCAATTTGAAAGGTCATTATTTTAGGGTGTCTCCCCCTAATTTCAAAGGAAAGGAACAACTTCTTATTGGAATCAAAGCTGTGAACAGAGCTATGGTAAATAGCCACCATGCTGCTATTGTCCGATTCTGAACAAAACATTTGTCTGTTTTTCAAATGAAATACCAGAAAATAGCCCAAGGTCTTTAAATGGAAGCCCCTGGGGAGAAACCACCACACAATTCTTTTCCAGGACTACTTAGATTCTTCATGCTGATTGAGACTGGATTTCTTCTAATATGCCGCTCCTCATTAGCGAAAACCTTATTTGTTGAAAGTCTCCGATTTCACCATAATTTCGTCCTCTTTTCTCCACTTCTTTTTCAAAATGGCCTGATATGGAGGTGGGAGAACACTCTGTGCCCCCATACCAGGCATTTTTGGTTTGTTTAACATGAAAATCAAATCAGATCAAGAAAAGGAAAACGTTGCAGAGTTCTTTCCAGCTTACAGCTCTTTTCTTAAAGACCTTGTGTCCATCTACATGTCAAGAGACACATAAGAAGTAAGAACACTGCTCTACTCATTTATTAGAGAAAGGAAACTTTTTGGCTTTTTTGTTTGTTTTTTGTCTTTTGAGACAGGGTCTCCCTGTAGCCGCAGCCGGCCTGGAACTCACTATGTAGACCAGGCTGGCTTTGAACTCGAAGAGATCTGCCTGCCTCTGCCTCCTGAGTGCTGGGATTAAAGGAAAGTAAAAGATTCCTTGTCTCATGCATAAGAACTGAAGTAGTATAAACTTTGTAACCTTTAATCTGCCCACAGTTTAAATCACGCCACATCCAGGGGTCTTACATCATCTTCAATCAATAAAATAACCTTGTTCGTCTTAGACATACAGCGTGCCCTTGAGGGTATTGGATAGGAGAAGAAAGGCTATCTCTAGCTCTGTCTTTGAAAGTGCAATGTGAATCTATATATTTAGATTTTCTGTAACAAGGCAGCAAGGCCAAGCTAAATTCTTACTCCATTTGCAGTCATTAGCCTTTCCCAGTATACCTGGGAGTTTGAGCCAAAAACATATTACTGAGAACTCAGATGTTTCCCAAGCCAAGACCCAGAAAAATCAGCATCACATAAAGGTGAGGACAAACCAAAATTTTGCTATTTAAAAAATTTTTCAATATGCCTATTCAATCTTCTTTCTAATCATTTATGTACCTCTTCCTCCCATTCTGCTTCTACCCATCACTGTACTAACCAGAATAGAGAACTGTGCTGGATAGCTTTAGTTGTCAACTTGACACACCTGGTTTGAGGGAGCCTCAATTGAGTAATTTCCTCCATTTATTGGCCTGTGGCCACGTCTCTGGGGCATTTCCTTGACTGAGTGATGTGAGAGGGCCAAGCCCACTGTGGGCAGTGCCATCCCTCGGCAGGTTGTCTTGTGCTGTATAAGAAAGCAGGCTGTGGTGCTGGAGAGATGGCTCAGCGGTTAAGAACACTGACTGTTCTTGCAGAAGATCCGGGTTCAAATCCCAGCACCCACATGACAGCTAACAACTAACAACTGTCTGTAACTCTGGTTCCAGGGAATCTGATGGTCTCTTCTGTTCTCCGCGGGCATTGCACAACATGGGTGCACTTACCTACATGCAGGCAATACACACATACACAAAAAATAATAAATAAAATATTTTTTAAAAGAAAGCAGGCTGAGCACAGGCCAAGGAGCAAGCCAGTAAGCAGTGTTAACTTCATGGTCGGTGCTCCAGGTTGCGGCCCTGAGTTCCTGCCTTGGCTTCCCTTGATTAGGAACTACACTGTAAGTCAAATAAACTCTTTCCTCCCCAAGTTGGTTTTGGCCAGGGTTTTATCACAGCAACAGAAAGGTAACTAATAAAAAGAATCTTATCTAGAAAACCTATTTCTCTATTAAATTCAGTTCAACCTGCTTCATACCTTATTCCTAGATAAAGGGAAAGCAGCCAGGTCAATTTTCTCTTTAACTATGTCTTTATGTGTAAAACACCACAGAAGTATGCACACATGCACACACACACACACACACACACACACACACATCAGCAGCAGCAGCATTCTCACTAAAAGCATGAATCCCCAGTGGATTCCTAAGTCCCCTCAAGCAGGGCCATTGGTCTAAAGTGTCAGACTAAAAGTGATTTCAAGTAAACTGTTAAGCATGGAGCCTGGCATACAGTAAAGCCTCATAAAAGTTAGCCATTATTATAGTTATTATCTCAAATTTAGGGCTGGGGAGATGGCTCAGGGGTTAAGAGCACTGGTTGTTCTTGCAGAAGACCCGGGTTTGAATCCCAGCGTCCACATACGGGCTAACAACCATCCATAACTCCAGTTCCAGAGACTCTGACACAATCTTCTGTCCTCCTTGGGCACTGTATGACATGGGTGCACTTATATACATACAGGAATAACACTCATACACATAAAAATAAATTTAAAACATTAAAAAATATTATCTCAAATTAGTTTTTTTCTGGAATGATCTAGAAATTTTATGAAGGTTGTTTTATTTGAAACCTTTACTAATAACCCAGTCAGTGCGGGGGTCCTTAGAACAGCCAGAATGGGAAAGACTCTTGGGAGACCACTTAATGGTCCACTCTCCTGTGACCATCACACTAGGTTGCCATCTACTCTTTCTTAGGAAAAAGCTTGAGGGCTAGAGAGATGGCTCATCGGTTAAGAACACTGGTTGTTCTTGCAGAAGGCCTGGGTTCAAATCCCAGCACCCACATGGCAGCTAGCGACTGTCCCTAACTCCAGTTCCAAGGGATCCAACAGCCTCTTCTGTCCTCCACAGGCATCGCACGACACGGGTGCACTTACCTACATGCAGGCAATACACGCATACACATAAAACTGAAATAATAAATAAAATATTAAAAAGAAAAAGCTTGAGGGAAGAGTTGCCCTCAGTTCTCTGCTCCTATATTTATCATCTCCCAGACTATGTTGAAAAATTATTGTAAGACCCAGAATAAGGCCTTGACATTTTCAAATGTTACTGAGAATCAGTGTGACAGATGTTTTTCTAAAACATTAGCTCAGGGGATGGGTCATATTAAGAAAAAAATTTTTATTACATTTTATTTATTTATTATTTATGTATGTATATATATATATATAGTGTGTGTATACACATATGCATGCTTGCATGCTATGCATGTGCATGTGCCAGTCAGGACAACTTGTGGCAATCAGTTTTTCCTTCTACCATTATAATCCTGGAATCAAACTCAGGTCATCAAGCTTTGTGGAAGGCGTGTTTTCTCACTGAGTCACCTTACCTGGACCAAGATTGGTCATTTTTTGGTTCCATTTTTACTTTATCCCACTCTGAAGCAATTAACCAGAACATATTACTAGGCAACAAAAGTAATCAACTTGACAGTAGAGGGAACAGAATAGTAGGGCATATCCATTTCAAAAGGGGATCAGACCATGTTATCACACCTCATCCTTTACTGCCTCAAAAAATTATGAGATCCATAAAATCAGACTGAGAACAAAAGGAAGAAATTTTACGAATGTACCTTGAAACTGCTCACTTTAATAATCTGTTCCCTCCTATGGTATTGTTATAGTTTATTTTTACAAAGAACATAAACATCTTTATAATAAAGAAAATAAAAAACTTACAGTCCTAGTACTTCAACCCAGGCATTGGTAAATATTTTGCTCCAGACTTATGTGCTTTTGCCAAGAAATGAAAAATTTTGGGGGGGTGTTTATGGAGACAGAGTATCACTATATAGCCCAAGCTAGCCTCAAACTCATGGTAATCCTGTCTCCGTCTTTCCAGTGCTGTTATTGCAGGTGTGAGCCACCACAGCCGATACAATGAAATATTAATATACACATAATTTGGGATTCTACATTTCACATGATTATAAGCCCTTTCCCCAAGGTGTAGCATAGACTTCATAACAAACAGTATAATGACTCCTTAATACTCCACTAAACGAATGTAATGAGATTCATGTACCCATTTCCCAATTATTAAGATATCAAAATCATCCATACCTTCAGAATCCCAAAGGGGCAGAAATTACTGGAAATCCATGTGTTTCCCTTTTCATGTGGATCATAATGTCACATGTGCTGTGCAGCCATGTTAATACTTTAGATGAACTTAACTGAACTTTAATATAAATGCTTATGATGTACACTGACTGTTTATAAAAACCATATATATCATATATATATATCAAATTAAATTTAAGAAAAATGAAAATGTTCAAATGGCTTCCAAAGTCTTAACCCAGTCTAAATAATGTTACAAAAATATCCTTATGATTCAACCTTTTTCGATATTTTGGGTTGTTTCCTAATGATGCAATTCCACAAGTGAAATTAAGGAGTCAAGGTATATGAATGTTTATAGACAATCCACTACAAAAATGCTAGCAAAACACCAAAGTCCCATGAATTCTCTTTCACACTTCATAAAAAGTTATTCTGCTCCTATTTCTCTTCCAGGGCCGAGCAGGGCTCCTGTACCCTGAAAAAACAAAGCAAACAGAAGTAGTGCAGTGCTTCAGTGGCTTGCAAAATGGCAGAGTGGAATGCAGGCTCCCCTGGGAATCCAGCTTGCACACACTTATCCCAAATTGCCATTGGCCAAGAAGCTAATTACTAAAAGCATCAGGTGGGTGAGAACAGGTTCATTGCCTGTAATGGCTTATATCATCTTTCATTTTTGTCCTTGGAAAGATCTCACAGTCATCTTGAAGACATCCAGTTCTAGTGACCCAGCTTGTTACATTCTGAGAATGGAATTCATTAAGTTTTCAGATCCCACTCTTCAATCTACCTTAATAGGCAAATTGCTATATAAAACTGAATGTACATGAGCAAGGAGCCTGTGTAAACACCTCTTCTTGCAGCCTCAATGAAAGTGGCACTTTTAAGGCCAACTCAATTTAATATTATATGACTAAGTAGCACCTGTTTAAATGGTCAAGGTGTTATAGACCAAGGTTTATTTGTAGACTTGACCATAAAAGTCATCCAATGTGTAGGCAGGGAAGGCAGAAGGCCAGAGATGCTCCTGGCTTCATAAGAACAGACATCACAGGCATTGCTTTCTTTCATTTCTTTTCTGGAACTCTCAGAAAAATGCAGTTCAGCTTTCTGCCTTCTCCTTGAAGGCTTTTTCCACATCCTCTTCCATTTCCTCTGCCCCAAATTCTGCTCAATACAGAACATTAATTTTCCCTCACTATGTTCCTACTGTGCTTGGTATACATCTTCATTATAGCACAAATCACATTGTATTTTCCACAAACATTTAGGTAGTACTTAATATAAACACTGCTCTAGGTAGATACTGGAGCAGACAAAATGAAAAAGAAAAAGCAGAAGCCAGGTGTCAGGAGCTTCTAGGCACGCAAAATGGGCCAAATCTCACACCTCTGGCCAACAAAGGTATGAACAATAGCTCTGAGCTGAGTAGAGGACATTAAATTTGGTGACCAACTTAATGTCAAAGATGTGTTGAGATATATCTTTGGAAGTCATTGCATTTGGTTAATAGCTAAAGTCATAAGAGGGAGCTGGCCATAAAGAATAAGAACAGAACTAAACAAGGCTGAAATGAAGGATGGATCCATAAAATGATCATCCGAGGATCAGGCACATTGCAAATGTGAAACAAATACCTTTACTCCCTGGTTCCCTCCTCCATATTACTTCAGTCTAGAAGACCTCGCTTCAGAGATGGAAGTCCCTAGCTGTAATACAGAGAGATAAAAGAAGGTAATTCTCTCAATTTATGCTTCTAAATATTCAGGCAGAAATTATGGTAAGGAGTTGAGCCATAAATGAAAGTGGAAATTGCTAGAATATGAGATTTTGAAGGACATGGACAGGAAGTCGTATTTCTGTCTCGGTACTGACAACACTAACAGGTACATTTGATGTGCTTAATAATTGCATAGAATAACATCTTCTCAAAGACTTTGCTAGAAGCTACAACAGATATAGAAGGAATGAAATACAAGGAACAATAATGATGATGATGATGATGATGATAATACCTTTATTCTTTCAGGCTTCTATCAAAAGCTCTTTCTCGTCTGTAAGTCTTCTCAGCAGCTGTGTACAGAAATAAAGGCAGATGTAATTAAGTCCATTTTACATTTGGAGAAGCACAAGTCCAAAACAGATAACTAGTGTTAAGTAATTTGATCACAGTTTCGCTGCTCCTCTCCAGTAGGGCCAGGATCAGAAACCAAGTCTTGTGACTTCCTGCACTATGTTCAGTTATTAGACAAAACTCTCCACAAACTGCCTGTTTGGATTTGAAGAGGACAGTTCACAAGAGAAATTCACTCAAAAAGCCAACCCCCTCAGCATTCCAACTATACAGTCAACTATGTTTTACCTACAGGAAAGTATTTAAGACATTTTCCTAAGCTAACACTAGCATGACTGGCTACATATAACTCCCACATGTGCTCCACTGACATAATTAAGAGCTCTTCATTTTGTTGTATGCTTGTCGAAGGGAGCCCCATTTGCCTTCGGTCTGGATTTTGTATCTGAGTGGAGCTCAGGTGCTGACTGCAGGTGTGGCATCCAGCAGGTGCATGGAAAGGAGCCAGTGTTTTATATCTTCATGCCAAAGGCCCTGAGTCACCCTGCCAAGGCAGAGGCAGTCCTTCTTCCTGCTGCTGATCTGCAAGCACTGAAAACCTGGCTTGGCTGTGTTGCCCTTGCGGAACTGAATCTGGATCCTGCCTTCTCAAAAAGGTGTAGAGCAAGATCAGTTAAGTCAGAAATTCTATGCCCTAGAAAACTGTCCTGCTCACAGAAAGTAATGCAGTAATAGCCAATGAGGAAAGTATCAGGGACTATATATACAGAATTACCATCGCTTTTTTATAATGTGTATGTGTTTTGCCTGCATTTATATATGTGCACCACATTCGTGCCTGGTACCCGAGGAAGCCTGAATAGGGCATCACATCTCCTGTAACAGGAGTTACAGATAAGTTGTGAGATTCCATTTGGGTGATGGGAAGTGAATCTAGATCTTCTGCAAGAGCAGCAAGTGATCTTAACCACTGAACTATCTCTCCAGGCCAAGAATGACCATCTTTTACAAGTTGTGGGAAGAAAGGAGGATCAAAGCAGCTCCTATTTTATTCCACTAAAAAGCACCTAATCTACAAATGCCCTTGAAATCTCAGGAGTCAATATTCATCTCCCTAAAAAAGATGGAGTACAATAGAAAGAAACTGCTAGTAAGCCTGTGTTCCTAGTCCCACCATAACCCTTCCTCTTCAGGCTACCAAGGGAGAAGTGCTTAGCCTGTTCACTAAAAAGACAAGGTCAGAAAATTTACCACACCGCCCTAACACAAGCCTAACTGGCAGCCTCGAGCAGAAAGAATGTTCTTGGGGGTAAAACAGGTCTTCAATATTTTCTTCCAAAAATTGTTTACTTTTTGAAAACTATCTGCCCCCCAATAACCCCCCTACATACACACCCACGTATTTGTGAACACAGCCATTTGAGCACACGCTTGTGAGTAAACACATGGGGAGTGCAAAGGGAGGGGGGGAAGTAATCATAGAAGGGAAAATCAAATACTATCTTAATAAAATGCTTTGTTATGCCTCATTGTATTGCTCTAATTCACACAGGAAGCAAATATGCTTTGGTATATAACTCATGATCTAGAATATAAAACTGACTACTAAACTAAAATGTCATCACTGTCCATAAAGGAGTAAAACAGTGACCTAAACTGGAAACTCAAATATAATATGGAGGAAATCAGATTTTTTCAAAATTGGAAATCTAAATAATTTTCCTTGTCTGTGATTTTTATTTTTGTTTGCTATCATATGAGGGAAAAAGTCACCAATTCCATGCAAATCTATGTCCCTTGAAAACAACTAAAATGAATAAAGGATGCACTAATTACCTTCCTAATAGGGGAGGTTTTAATTGATCTTTTCTCTAACAACCTTCATCAAAGTTTCCAGGGCAACTTCAAAAAAAGATGTCAAACCTGGCCCATATTTGTATCCCCTTAAAATAATTCTCAATACACAGAAACACGGAAAGCTGATTTCTCTTCAATGCTGTTAACACTCAGGCCACTACATTTTCTGATGTCAGCAATCCCCTTCCCACAAATATTCCAAGTATGCACCACCGTCATTCTCCTTTCAATTATGTGGTTTCTCTGCTCCTTTCCTGATTGAGTCCAGGCCTCTCCGATAATGAGAAGCATGTGCAGGGAAAATATGCTCTTAAAAAACACATACATCATTTTCATCTCTATCTTAAGTGGGGGAGGGGGGGACCAATCACTTGTCCATACCAAAAGGATCAAAATGTGAATCAGTTTTCTATGTGATATTACAAGGGGAAAAAAGATCAGCACCAATGTCTAAAGGGGGCCAGTTTTTGTGAACTGAAGCAAAACCAACAAAAATAAGGGAGACAACCCCAAAATCCACCCTTTCTAACTTGGCCACATTTATATTTAATGTTATCTTAATGTTGCCTTGGGGGGTATTTAAGTTCTGACATACACATGGAAATGAGCCACGAATTGTACAGTAAGCATAAATATTCCATCATTAATAAAAACCAGCTGGGCAAAAAACACTACAAGAGCTGGATATCAGTTACTGGCTATTGTCAGTATTTGTCACTAACAAATATTACTCAAAATTCTCCGTTAAAACACAGACATAGAGAAGTTGGCTTTACTGTAACATGTGAAGGAGCTTTGAGGAACCCATTGGTCAGTATGGTGCATTCTATCTAATGTCTCTTTCCTCATCCTGGCAGTTACCAGAGGCCTTTGATTTTATCTTAACCTATCACAGAGTATAAAATGTTTGATTTCATTTTTTTAAAAAATTCTATAAAATTTTTATTAACATATATTAATTGCACATAACAATGGCTTTCCTTATAACACTTTCTTTTTCAGAAGGTTGCATATATCACCTTTATTATTGTTTTTTTTTAAAGGCTAAAACTATACACATTTGAGAACTCACAGTAGTTTTATCCGAGAGGGCCAATAGTACAAATGTAGGGCCAGTCGTAAATAGTGAATAAGGCAATGGGGCACCAAAGGGCACTGTATGGTATAAGAGAGCAAAGCTCATTAAAAGTGAACACCTGCTCAGGATCCTATAATAAGCCTGCTCTGCCATCATGCAAACACCTTTCATCCAATGACCTCAAAGCAAGTGCCCAATATGAAGCATGCCTAAACACCTCTGTGAAGTATTAATATCCTTGCTTCCCAGAAGGGTAACTGAAGCTTAGAGCAGCTAATTCATCTACCCTTGGTCACATGGCAAATCAGAGAAGGGATGGGCAGAGAATTCCAAATCCTGGCTTCAAGTCACACAGACTAATGCCATTTCATGCAGCTGGAACAAGAGTGAAAGTGACTTTACAAATGTCAAGGCAAGCCTGCAGAGAGAGAGAGAGAGAGAGAGAGAGAGAGAGAGAGAGAGAGAGAACTTGATTCTAAAATTCGCCTTAGGTACTATCAGCAAATAAATACCCCTGCATTTTTTCCATTAATACATGGTATGAAACATATTCCTGTACTTCACTTAGAACTTTATGTATGACAAAGACCCAGATCTCAAATTTTATCATTTAGCGGGTGCAATTCCATTCAGTGTATGAAGAGGCACTAGTACATGAGGAATAAATCTGATAGCACTCATAGACTGTATTTAACTTATCAAGGGAAAATCAAAGGTCCAGGCAACTGAAATTTCACTACATATTAAAGGTTTCAAATGAAGAACCTATTGTGTGGACCACTCTTGCTGTATCGACACGCCATGTGTTTAGTTGCCTAAAAACTTTAATTCTTTTTTTTTTCAGTCTGAGATAAATAATATTTTTGAGCCGGACATGGTGGCACACGCCTGTAGTCCCAGCACTTGGGAGGCAGAGGCAGGCAGATCTTTGTGAGTTCAAGGCCAGCCTGGTCTACATAGTGAGTTCCAGGACAGCTGGGGCTACAGGGAGACCCTGATTCAAAAAGAGAAAGAAAAAAAAATTTTAAGCTATAAAGTGAGCATATCTGGGTCATTCTTCTCCTTCTTTCTCATTTTGGATCTTCTGTAGTTCATACAAATTTATACTATCATTTTTAAATTTTTATTTGTTATTTTTATTTTACGTGTATGCATGTATTGCCTGCACGTAGAGACGTGCACCCAGTGTGCAATGCCCGCAGAAGTCAGAAGAGGCTGTCGGATCCCGTGGGACTGGAGTGACAGATAGTCGTTAGCTGCCATGTGGTTGCTGGGATTCAAACCCGGGTCTTCTGTAAGAACAACCAGTGTTCTTGAATGCTGAGCCATCTCTCTAGCCCCACAAATTTATACTATCTTAAGGAGATATCATGAAGTGATTTCAAAATAATTTTCAATGATTAAGACAAGTAAACACTAGGTTCTAATTTGTTTTCTGTTTTTAAAGAATGGAGGCAAGTAAGAGGAGGTCAAAAAGAATAGGGTTAACAGGCTTATTCCATTCATAAACAACTTCTAAATCACAGAAAGTGTTTAGAGATCACTTAAATCTATTGGCCTCTCCTGGCATTCCAGAACAAAATGTATGGGATTCTTCATGTGTACTTGCTGTTTCTGACTCCATTCCTCCTTAGTAGTTTACAAAGCAATGCCTCTCATAAGCTCTCATTTAAAACTAACATTGCACAGTCCTATGACCCAAATTGTAGAAAATTTGTATTAGTATAGGAATCAGAAAAAAATGAATGGGATTCTTGAAGTTTTAGATACAGTCTTAGGTTTTTAATTTTATGCTTTTAAAATATAAAGCACATTTCCACTGATATATGCTTACAAACTCTTTGTTTTTTGCGGAAAAGCTACATTATTACATTTCTAACAACTTTTACAGCCTCATTCTACTACCAACCATTCACAGTCACACCAGATCAGTGAAACCTCAAAAAGCAAGCATAAACTTTTGAGAACTTGACTATCAAAATCACCTCATTCAATCTCTACAATTTACAGTGGAGGAAACTTGCCAAGGCTGTTAAACCAAGTTAGAGCTGGGCCTAAAGCCGGGTTCCTCTCTCCAACAGACTTACCCGGAAAGCCTACCACACATTCTTAGATTAAAAATGGCATCATTTCCAATTATTTATTAAAAATAATTTTCTGGATCCTTAGGTATTTCAAATACAATAGCTTTAAATCAAATAATGTATGTAAATCAGGTGAATAGTGCCCTCCTTAGACATTCAAAATTCATAAAGTCTGATTTATTCCCAGAAAGTAATACGAACTCATTTTGACCAGCATGTGTGGGCTGAGGCTAACATGGCCAGCATTGTTACAAGCCAGAATTATTTGAAAATTAACTCCATAGCATATAACAAAAAGACTTCCAAAGTCCAGTAACCGTCTCATTTAGTTCAAGCAATGATCAGCACAGCAAATTCTAATGTATTTTTTTATTCAATAAATACATTCCTGAGAAGGCCTAGGTACAGCAAATTTTTTACCTATCAAGTCATAATTTACAGATACCAACTAAGTAAGCTAATTCTCCACAAGAAACCTGTGTAAATCTTTTTATAAGCAAATGACCTTCTATTTTCTTTCTTTTCTTTTTTTTTTTTCAGATTGTATGTGTCCTGTATGGAAGGGGCAAGTTTCCTACTCTTTTGGCATTAAAAAAGGTCAGAAACCCACCATGGAGGACAGTAATGTAGTCTTTTTAATACCCCCTTAGTTCCTAGGACTAAATGCTAACCTTTGACTTGGGGGTGGGATCCTAGATTTCGGACTAAAGTCCACAAAAGGTAGTAAGGAATGAAAAGTAAGCAATGCTAAGGACAACACATCATAGCAAAACAACAAAAAATCCTGGGGACAGCAAATCAATGGATCATAATTCTAAACAAATTGGTTTAATCTCCAGCTAATTAACTTGTCAAGCATATCTCTAAACCAACTGAATCCATGGGAGAAAGAGTTGATGTAATACAAGATTTGGAAACATTTACCATCCTAAAAAGATAGGGCCCGACCACACACACTTCTCTCCACCACTTTCAGTGGATTTTAGCTCAGATTAATGGGTGCAAAGGACGATTTCTACCAGACAGACTTGAAGAATAGACTGTTCTCATGAATTCCAAATGGTCAGTCTCCATGGAGGAGGCTACCTGGACACAAGCATTTCCCAAGAGAGAATATATCCTCTACTCCTCTTCATTGGTAACACTACCCCCACACCCAAACAAAACAAAACTTCTAACCATCCTGAGAACTTTGGGGGGGACTTTTATTAGGTAAAGGAAAAGAAACATTAAGAGGGGAGCAGGAGAGTGTGAGAAACTCCTCTTGTCTCCAAATGGAAAACAAGCCTAAAAAGCTGGATCAAAGGAAGAAAGGGGGATGGGGGGAAGAGCTGCTTAATTACAAAGACACCCTTTTAAAGAAGGAGCAGGCCCTGGGAGAGGGCTCTTAGGAGAGGCCCAGAAGCAGATGTACCCGCTTTAGAATTCTGGCACTCAATGGGACCTCAAAGTCAAAGCTTCCATCCTTCTGTCTTCCCATTAGAAGATTCTCAAAGCATGATAGTCAGCATCGTTCAGTACAAAACTTGAGGAAAATCAACCTCAAAAAATGCCTTATTTATGCATTAGTCTAATAAACCTTACTTTGTAAATGGGAAGTTGCCTTTAAGTCCCAAATTACAAATATCAAATATGAATTGTTACATTCTTTCTAGAATATTTTTATTAGGTAAATGGGTTTCCAGTGATCATATAAAACTTACTGTACATACACATATGTACAGTTTATGTAGCAGGTTTAATTTATATCTAGACTGTGAAGTTATAAAAGTTATTTCAATTATACAGAGAAAAACTTTTCTGAAGAAAGAAGCAACTTAAAATGAAGCATGATGTAGTGCCAGAAAGTGTCCGTAAATGACACCAGGCAAACCCATACAAAATAGCTGGAACCTGAGTTATCATCTGTAAATAGATGCAACTACTCTACAACCACCTGGCTATTAAAATGTCCCAGGTCAGTTTTAAAACGTAACTTGGTCAGGCCAGCTTTTCCCTCCCTGCTGATCTGAAATATGATAGCCTTTAAAATTGTCACCTTGTAACATTCCTTCTCTACCTTCCTGCTTTCTTTCTCCCCATTAAAATCAACCAAAGAAATTGTTTTAAAATATATGCAAATTATTTGTTCTCTAAAGGATGAGGAATGGATTGGAAATATCTCCATAACAGGTCTTTGAACACAACCAGTCTTATAAGCCCCATGGCCCTTGCCCAGTTGAAGAGAGGTAGGAATGGGTACAAGTTTACCCCATGTCCAAAATGGCATTTCAGGCTATTTTTAGCTACTAAATGTGGGTACTGAAAGGTCTGAGGAGGCTTCCCCAAAGCTGGCTGGAGAAAGAACTTTTCAGAAAGTCAATCTCAAGGAGACTTAAATACCTTAAGCCCTTCATCAGTGAAGATTATGGAGACTGTCTTTCTCTCTAAATGAGAGATTATATTCATAAAAGTTTCATCTGTCTCTTCACATTCACTCTTCATGGCAAGGAAGAGACAAGAAATGAACTGTACCTCAGGTTGTCCAAAACTTCTTGCTAAGACTTATATTACAGATTGAAAAGGCTATTTCTCAAACACTTTCCCTTTTCTCCTTCGTTAATTTGTATTCTCCCTTGCTGAAAATTATTAGCATATTATTGTTAGTGGCTATTACCAGGGACTTCTCACAGTCCATAAACAGTCACCCCCCCACACACTTTCCCTTCTCTTCGTTTTCACGTATCCATGAAGTCCTTCTTACAGTTGATGCACAAAAGTACAATGGCCCAGGCTTGGATCCTAAAACCACCTGCCTAACCTTGCAAAACTACTTACTAACATCTTCTGAACTTATAAAGCAAATATGGACAAACCCCTCCTCAAAAAACTCACCACCACGATCACAACACACAAAAACACACATGCATGCATGCATGCATGGAGTAGTAGTGTAGTAGATTATTCCCACATTTTATATCTTCAAGAAGTCATGGCCCTGGGTCAGGGAGGGTGAGTTCCCACCCCAAGCCTAAGCAGTTAGGAGAAAGCCTTTCAGTTATCTGAGATAAGGGCATACCTTCATTTCAGAGGAAAGGTAGACCTCAGTTTCCCTAAGGTCTTTAGTTCTTTAAGAGATCAATTCCTTAGTGATTACAAGGATCCCCAGGAGGCAACAACGTGCCACCGAGCGGTGATACTTTCCAGCATCCCCTTCTTGAAGTAGGACAGGAGAGGAGCCCATGCTTTTTAAACTGATTTAACTCCCTGCATATCCCAGAAAACTCAAGGCCAGCAGCAAAGAAAGTAGAGCACATGGGCATCCCCACAGGCACATACACAGACTCACTCATGCCTAAGGCAAGACCAAGTTCACAACACCGTGGATTCCAGCCCTAGTTCCCCGGAAAAAGTAACCACAAGTCTCCTACCCCTGAAGTCAACGAAGACAAGGTGACGACTCTCTCTGCTCGCTCAAGTGGCTTTGGTCCCAGTCCCAGGCCAAAGGCCAAGGATGGGCATAGAGGAAGCCCCAGGTCCTGGCTACTTCCCTCCTCGCTGCTCCGTCTGGGCTCTTCTTGGTGGCAGTGGACAGGCAGGATACTGGGTGGGAGGGTGGAGCAGCGGATGGTGGGAGACGAGACAGGCTGGAGATGGTGATAGTGGGAGAAGGCGGTGAGAACTAAGAGAAGAAGAGACGAAAAAGAATAGAGATGAAGGAGTAATTCAGGGGTCTACCAGAGAAGGCAGCCAGAAAGCTCCTTGGAAGGAAGGGGCGTGACTGTGATGAAGGCCGCTCCTGAGCAAAGGATGGGAGGTAGAGGAGGGGAGGAACTGGTGGCTTTTCTTCTTGCGGAGCTTCTAGGACCGCCCAGAAGCAGGGCGGGGGGGGGAGCGGGGGGAGGGCTGTCGGGCGAT